TTAAAGAGCGATTGTTAAGTTCGCGAGGTTACATGAGAGGAGCAGATACAATATGATAATGAAATTTGAATTGAACAATAATAAAATAAAATAAATAACGGTTCTAGTTATTATTTTAAAAAAAAGATTTTAGTTATTATTTTAAATTAATCTAAAAAAAAAGTTTTTCTTAAAAATAATAGGTTTTCATATTAATTTGGAAAAGATGTTAATGTTATTTATTTTAAAAAACAGATTTTTATATTATAACAAATTTTAATAAATTAATGATAACAATAATAATAATAATGGTAATAATAATGATAATAATGATAATAATAATAAATAATGATAATAATAATAATAATAATAATAATAATAATAATAATAATAATAATAATAATAATAATAATAATAATAATAATAATAATAATAATAATAATAATAATAAAGCAATAATGAATTTTAAATGTGCCAAATAACCCAACAATGTTGCTAACGCAGAAATGCGCTCATCGCAACCAGATCTAAATCGGACGAAACAAAATTTATCGCAAAGAAAAAGAAATTAAGCAAAAAATAGTATTATTGCTCACACAAAAATGCGATCATCGCAACCAGATCGAACTAACACAAATGTCACGCGTCATGCACACAAATATGCAAACATCGTATCGACATAATTCGATCAAAAATCTTATATATATAAACTCTAACAATTTAAAAATTATATATATATAAACGTAACAGTAATAGATAAAGAAAAAGAAATAACGGTAATAGATGAAGAAAAAGAAATAACGGTAAAAGATGAAGAAAAAGAAACAACAGTAATAGATGAAGGAAAAGAAATAACGGTAAACGATGAAGAAAAAGAAACAATAGTAATGGATGAAGAAGAAAACTAAATAACGGCAAACGACACTCACTCCTCTTAGGTTTTTTTCATTCTCTCCCCTTTTTCCAACAAGGCAACACATGTATATATAGGGAACAAATTAGGATTAACACCAAATTGTCAATAATGTCCCTAAAGCCCATTTTAAAGCCCAAACTAAATAATTAGTTAAGAAAAAATAAAATTTAAATGATTTAAAATAATTAAAATAAACTTAAAATAAAAACTAATAATCCTATTGATTCCTAAAATAAAAAATATTATAAAAAGAACAAAATTTTTTTCAATATTTTTTATTTTATGATTTTTTGGATATTTTTATGAATAATTTAGAAAAAAGTGAAAAAAATAATATTTTAAAAAATGATTTAATTAAAATACGAAAAATTAGGGTTAACACCAAATTGTCAATAATGTCCCTAAAGCCCATTTTAAAGCCCAAACTAAATAATTAGTTAAGAAAAAATAAAATTTAAATGATTTAAAATAATTAAAATAAACTTAAAATAAAAACTAATAATCCTATTGATTCCTAAAATAAAAAATATTATAAAAAGAACAAAATTTTTTTCAATATTTTTTATTTTATGATTTTTTGGATATTTTTATGAATAATTTAGAAAAAAGTGAAAAAAATAATATTTTAAAAAATGATTTAATTAAAATACGAAAATAATAATTAAATAATAATAAAAAACTATTTTTGTTATTTTTTTAATGAAAGATAGAAAAATTTAGAGTAAAAATAATAAAAAACAAAAAAAGTGACAAAGGTGAGATTCGAACTCTCAACCTCTCACACTCATAACTCCTTACACATGTCCTCCTGCCAATTGTGCCATTTTTACTTTTTTAGAAAAAAAATGCATGCCATATGATATTTACCTGCAAAAAGTCAAACGACTACACAAATTTGTTAGTAATTGATTAAATGCAATGAAATGCGACGACAAATCTTAGGGCAAAATTTGGGGTATTACAGTTATTATGATAATATTTCTCACCCAACCTCTCTTTGATGTTGGCAAAAAAAAATCATGAAGTTTGACTTTGGTTTGACCACAGTTGACCTCAGTTGCCTTTTAACTGCATTGACTGCTTTTGACTTATCTGATCATCTGACTGAGCAAACTTTTGAGAAAAGTCTTGAAACTTGACATGGGGGTTCTTATACACATATAAGATGTTATGAAGCTCACTTGAAGTCTCGGAAGTCCATTTAGCCTGATTAAAGTCAAAACCCTAGTTTTGGATGCACTGCTTAGGAGGTGCATTGTCTGAGGGAATTGTCAACTCTTCTGACCAATTATGAATTTTGTGAACCTTGTGAACCTTCTTGGAACACAAAGTCTTGTATTGTGAGGGCAAATTTTGGGGTGCAACAACAAGGTTCTGTTATTTTTTCATCTGTCAAGGCGGAATACGTCGTAGCCAGATAGTTGTTGTGCTTAAATTCTTTGGCTCAAACAACAACTACTAGACTTCGATATTAAACCTCAACATATCTCTATCACGTGCGATAACACTAGTGTTATAAACCTAACTAAAAATCCTGTGCTACATTCTCATACTAACCATATTGAGATATCCATAATTTCTTACGAGAGCATGTTGAAAAGGGCAATGTCGTTTTTGAGCATGGTGATAGTAAAAATCAACTTGCTGATATTTTCACAAAATCTCTTGTGATTGAGCCATTTTTCAATATTCGTCGAGGATTGGACATTCTTGATATCTCTAGTCTTGCCTAAACTATATTGTTCCATGCACTTGTTTATATTGAGTTTCAACTTTCGTTCAAAAGTCTATTGTCTTGTGTAAGTCATTCTCTGACTCATCGTATGAGGTAATACCATTCTCAATTTGTCTCCTTATCCTTAATGTTTCTATGAAATATGCGAGTTATCTATGATTAAAATCATTGCATGTTTATGTTCCAATAGTATGTGATTTACTTAAGGTATGAAGAATTTTATATATGTTCACTTCTAAAAGTTTCAATTGATTGCTCATGAGTTGTTCAATTTATATGCTTATAGTGACAATATGTTTAAATCTCTTCACTATTCATATTTCACATCTAATACGGCTTGTGTTTGAAGTAAGTTCAATAATGGTTGCAGTTGAGCATGTTATTTATTCCATTCTTCATGAAATGTGCATTTCCGCCTTCATTTATTTTTGTTTATTGTGATATCATGTTGTAACCTTTCATGTCAAATGTGTAATATATATACTCTTTGCAAAATTCACTTGAAGTCCATAGGAAAGCTCAAATCCACAGAGAATAACCTTAATGGTCCAGAGGTTATCAATAGCAGCATTAGCTAGAATAATTATGTCATCTGCATACTGAAGATGGGAAACCACAAAATCAAAGGATCCAACTATAATGCCACAAAGAAGGGGCAAATCCACATCTCTAGATATCAGACCGCTCAAGCCTTCGAAAATCAGGAGAAAAAGGAAAGGAGTTAGAGGGTCTCTCTGCTTCAACCCTCTCTGAATATTAATCTCTTGGGCCGGAAAACCATTTACCAAGACAGGAAGATTTCCAGAAAACACACAAGCTTTGATCCAGCTCCTCCCTTTATCATTAAACCCGAATGTTGAGAGCATATACTCAAGAAAAGAACATCTAACAGAGTCATAAGCTTTCTCAAAGTCAGCTTTAAAGAGGAGGATACCACATCTTTGAAGCTAGTTTCATTGGCAAAAGCATTACTTCTAGATGTCCTAGGACGAGTTTTAACTTGCACCCTTAAACCAGATTGAGATATAACCTTCACACCTGAATGATGCTTAGCAAACCTAGTAAGATTCACTCTCAATTTGAACGAACCCATCCACAAATCTGATAGGGAAGTTTGAAGTTTGTGCAGATTCTTCATCTCCGAAAACCTAACGAAATCAAAACTTTCTCCAAATTTCAAAAGCTTCGAAGGAATGAAGACCTCTTTCACCAAAACGAACTTTTCAAAGCACTTACGAACCGAACCAATCGAAGCTTTAACAAGAATATTTGAAACGTAGAAGGAAGTGAGATCTTCCAAATATGAATATTTTTCCGGGTTATTCATAACAGGAGGAACAAGATGCAATGTTAAATGCGAATGAATGATTTTGTGAAATGAGAATGCAACAATGATAAAGGGGAATGCGGTGCAATTGATTTTATGATAATACAAGAATATATTGGAGTAAGTTGATGCACTCAGGTCCCATATGAAAAAGGAACGAGATTTTATATATGCATGCGATTGAGGGATGAACGATGCATGGAGAACAAATCTAAATGCTACATATAATTGAGTAAGTGCAAGTATTAGTTCCTTAAATGTGTAATGCAGATGCAATTTAAGATTGTTCCGTTTGAAATGAGTTTTGTTATCCGTAAAACTGTTAAAGTTAAAATCTAGAATAAAAAAAATTATTTCTAATGGGACTTGAACCATTACCTCTCTCTTACATGAATGAGGCGCCTGCCCTAGCTTAATAAAGGCATATGACTCTTACCAACCCTAGCTTAATGGTGGCAAAATGTCTTAAGGCTACATATGGAAAAGTGTCCATCATGCTAGCTGGATTCTAAAAAAAGTTGTCGGTGTATAGGTAATAACAATACTACAAATGTTTAGGAGGAAAATTGAATTTTAATCAACATGGGTTTAAGCTCACAAACTTTTGCAAATATTGGCTAAAAAACAATTTGCAAAATAGTGTTCAACATTGCACTTTGGACCACCCTATAGCTTGGTTGCATCAAATTGTCCCAATAATGAGTGCACTACTTCATGCCTTCTACTCAATGTAACTTACAAGTGTTCATGATTGTTCTTTCTTTGTTGCTAATAATTACAAAAAAAAAAAAAAACACACAAATCATTTACTCAATGTCATAAAACTTTGGATGACATAATGCTTATACTTTCTGATTCTTACATTAATAACACAAAATGTTAAATATTTTCCAAACAAAATAGACCCTCACACTGCAAAACATGAAACTGAGCAAGATCATGGATGCATAAAACTTAAAAATAAAGCATCACAATTATCTCATTACTTAATATTTTCTTTCCAATATGTGTTCATTGTGTGTATCTCATTCTAAAAATACTCATCATGGTGTGTATGTGTAACCTTGTGCTTCTTGTTGCTTCTCATACTCTTCCATAGTCTCAAACTCATTTGGATGCTGATTTTTTTCATAGTAACCTTCATTTTCAGTATTTCCTCTCCCTGATTCATAACCACCAAGGTTATTATAATTCTCATTTTCACTATTTACATTGTAAGAGTACTTTCCATTCTCCATGAACCTTGTATCACTCATTCCAAGTTCTCCTTTCCTCTCATAACCATTACCATAATTCTTGTTGTAGTTGTTGTTGTTGTAACTGTTCTTGTACTCTTCACTGTTGTAATTGTTCTTGTACTCTTCACTGTTGTAGCTTTTTGTGTACACTTCATTGTTGTTATGGAGATTGGTTTGAGGATAACCTTTTTTGTAGCTCTTCTTATCATCATTGAAATCTTCATTAAGAAGTTCATTTTCAAAGTCTGTTATGGTTTTTGGAGTTTCTTTGGTGGAAGAATATTGACTAGAATCAATTCCATATAGACCGTAACCATTTCCCGTTTCGACTAAAAACTCAGGCTCCGGTGCCGGTCCTGACAGTATAGTAGTTCTTCCAATTTCCGGTGCTGCAGCAGGCTCTTGTGCCGGTGCCGGTGCTGGAGATTGAGGTAATTGAGGATCATTGACATTGTTGGTGGTTTTGAAATGAGAGAAGAAGCTAAAGAACTTGTTTTGTCTTGCATGAATTTGTGGTGAAAGGAGAAGTAGGAAAAAGAATAAGAAGAAGAAAGAGAGCTGGTTTGCAAGAGAAGCCATAATGTGTATGAAATAGAAGAACAGACAATGAGTTATGACTGTTGAGAGAATCAAATTGTTAGGGTCATTTTATAGATAAAATTCCGGTTAATTATGCGAGGATTGTGGAAGAGTGAGTGAATGTGGGGTATAGTTATAAGGTCATGATATGCATGTGCAAGGTTTTGGAAGGTCAGCATGGGAGACATAAGGATAGGTTGTGTAGGGACAGAACATAGTCTTGGTAAAAAAAGACAGTTTATGTTTTTTTTTTCTCTTTAACTTTTGTAACTTGTTTCATTTTTGCTATGTGAATTTGAAATGGTTTGTAGGTCCTACCATAATTCTTTGTCTTCTTAGTTTGTTAGGTATCTGTAGTGTTAGTGCTTGGAGAGAAAGATGGAAGACAATTGAGAGTGGGATTGTGAACTGTAAGATTTGGATAAGTATACAATCATGCAATGGGGAATTTGAACTATCATAATAGCATTGAATAATTCAATTTTCAATTTTGTATTACATCCCAAAAACTAAGTGTTTTTTGAGCTATGACCGACCTAATCCACATAGATCTATTTTCATTAGGAATGTGTTGTATTACTGTACATGTGGACCAGCATCAGAACCACGTCTCCCCTCCACTCTGAACTACTAGATCATCATGTATGGTGACCCGCGTTTCACGTCAAACAACACAAACATGGTTACAACAAATATCTCATATGAAAGTGTCATACAATTAATTGTCCATCCAAAAATTTCACCTAATATCTTATTAATTCGAGCCTATAATCTTCTTAAATAGTTTTTTTATTTATTTATTGAGAGCCGTTTCAATTAGTGCGTGAGATATTTTTAGCGAAGAGAAAAAGAGAGAGAATAAATAAATAAGAATTAATATTATTGAAATATGATTGTGTTACTAAACTGAATTATAAAATATCTATTTATATACACCTAAGTGATTTGATTATTGAGTAACAAATATAACAAACCTTAATTATTTTTGGGTTTGGGGCACACAACTTGGATTATGTCACAACATACTCATATATAATCCAAGTTGTCGAACATACGCTGATTACAGTTGATCTGAACTATTTCTAATTTCTGTTTTAAATTCAAGAATCTGTCGATCTTCAATCCTTTGGTGAAAATGTCGGCCGATTGTTCTTCAGTTGAGCAATGTCTCACTTCAAATTCACCTTAACTTACCTTTTTCCTTACGAAATGAAATCTAGCTTTGATGTGCTTACTTCTTCCATGCAAAACTAAATTCTTCGCAAGATTTATGGCTGACTTGTTGTCGATCTACACCACCAGAGGTTTCTTCACTTCGACATCAATCTCTTCAAACACAAATTATACAGCATAGGATACTGCTATATATTCAGCCTCACACGATGACAATGCCACCACAAGTTGCAATCTTGAGCCCCACGAAATTGAGGCACCAAATACTTGAAAAAAATAACCAATTGTGCTTCTTCAATCTTCCTTATCTCCACACCAATCAGAATCTGAATAGCAAGTAATCATAGCTTATTTTCTTTCAGAATCTCGTTGAAATAGAATTCCATAGTTTATCTATCCTTTTAAGTATCTCAGGATTCTTCTTGCAGCCTTCATGTGTGACACCCTTGGTTCACTCATGTATTTGCTCACTAATCCGACTGAGAATCATATATAATGTCAACTGTTGCACACATATCTCAGAGATCCGACAATTTGTTTGAATAAAGTTGCATCGACTTTGTATTTCTCTCACTGCTTCTCCAACTTCAAATTTGGTTTGACAAGCGAAGATACAGAAGTCGAATCATCCATCATGAATCTCTTGAGTATCTTTTTGACATACTTTCTTTGATGTAGCACCATATCTTGCTTCGACATTTGAAATTCCATGCCTAGGAAATAAGACAAGTTTCCCATATTCGACATTTCAAATTCCTTCTTCATCAGCTCTTTGAACTTCGACAAGCTCTTCAAGCTATTTTCTGTTACTAACAAGTCATCGACATATAAGTAGATGATTGTTATATCTTGTGCCACAACATGAACATAGACCCCATACTCAGATTTTCATTTGATAAATTCCAATTCGACTAAGTATCAGTCGATCTTCTTGTTCCATGCCCTAGGTGTCTGCTTGAGGCCATAGAGCGATTTGTGCAACTTATACACTTTCCTTGCTTCCTCCTATATCACAAACTCAAGAGTTTGTGTGACATAGACTTCTTCGTCTAAGGGACCATTCAAAAATGTCGATTTCATGTCTAAGTGAAATGTCAACCAACCTTGCTTACATGCCAAGGTGACTACTAGTCAAACAACCTTTAATCTTACTACTGGTGCGTATAATTCAGAGTAGTAGACTCCCGCTCTTTGAAGAAAACCTCAAGCTACCAATCTCGCCTTATGTATTGCTATCGACCCATCAACATTGTGCTTTATTTTGAGCAACCCCTTCACTTCGATAGTTTTCTTATGTGATGGAAATTCATACTCTTTAAATCCTCACTATGGTTGATTGGTTCAACACATGCAAGTAAAGAAAATTGAACTAGTTCTCCGCCTGTCGCGACTTCATCATCACTAGTCACTCTGTAGTCTTAAGGTCTTGTGGAACGAGCTCTAGTTCATTATGGTCTCTAGCTTGTGCTACCCATATCCTCGTCAACTTCGACAGTGTCAGGAATGTCAGCAACTGCTTCAACTTGAACTGTAATATAAAAAATATCTCTAACTTCGATCATTACTTGCTTCGTCCAAATCATAGTTCATCAATGGCTTGTCAATTTCATAACTAGAATTCCAATCTCAGACATAATTCTCATCAATCACAATGTCTCAACTCATTATGATCTTATTGCTCATTGGATTGAATATCCTATATGCTCCAGTCTTATGACATCTTACCAGAATCATAGGTTCACTCTTATCATCAAGCTTCCTTCTCCTATCATCAGGAAAATGCTTATAGAAAATAGAGCCAAACACCTTCGGGTGACTTACTGATGGTCGTTTGTCACTCCACACTTCTTCATGAACCTTGTTCTTCAGCTTCTTGGTAGGGAACTTGTTCAGAATATAAACAGTAGTGGAAACAACTTCACCTCATAAGGATTTTGGAAAATTCTTCTACTTCAGCATGCATCTCACCATGTCCAATATGATCCCGTTTCTTGTTTCTTCTATTCCATTATGTTGAGGCATGTAAGGAGCAATTACCTCATGATCATTACCATGTTCTGCACAGAACTCTTCAAACATATTTGATGTATATTCGCCACCTCCATCTATTTACAGAACCTTGATCTTATTTTCACTCTGGTTTTCGACAAGTATTTTGAATCTCTTAAAGATTGTAAATACTTCGTCCTTTCGCTTAATCACATAGATCCAAAGATTTCGACTATACTCATAGAAAAATAAGACAAAATACATGTTTCCACCAATAGTATGATCCTCAAACGTTCCACATACATATTAATGTTCTACTTCTAGTATGCAGGAGGATCTCATTGGCATAGTCGAAATGAAAGACTTTCTGGATTGCTTTCTGACTAAGCAACTTTCATAGATTTTTTCGGGCATCTCAAGGCTTGGTATACTGATTATAATATCTTGACTAATCAGTTGATTGAGTGATTGAAAGTTCAAATGTCCAAATCTAAAATGCCATATCCAACTATTCTTGTGGTCGATAATAATTTTTAGACATTGTACTTCAGTCGAAATGATCATCATCTTGAATGTCCTATTTTTCGACAAAGGAGATTTCAAGACCAAATTATTCTGAGTCCAACACTTAAGAGATTTCACTTCATTCCAGGTACATAGAGTACATCTTTGATCATAGCTTTTCCTTCATTGCTTTTTTGAATAACAATGTCACCAGTACCTTCTGCTTGTAATGAGCTATTATCAGCAAGTTTGACCTTGCCCTTCTTCGGCGGGTCAAAATCTGCTAACCATACTTTTCAACCAGTCATGTGATTCGAGCAGCCCGAGTCGAGGAACTAGATCTTGGAGTTGACATGGCCATATGCAACTGCAGCCATAACCACTATATCTTCAAAATCATCTGAATTTTGGCGTGCTAGGTTCATTCCTTCCTCTTTGCCTTTCTTCGCTCCCTTGTCTTTATTGTAGCAACAACTCTTGGCCACGTAACCCCACTTTTCACAGTTATAGCACTGCACATCTTTTTTCTCTTTGTATTTTTGATAAGAGTTTTCTTCTCCTCTTTTCAAGGATTCAGAAGCCCTATCATTGACGTTATGCTTTTGAGGGTTCGACCAAGACTTTTTTCTCTGAGTATTGTCTCCTTTGCCTTTGAACTTGTCAGAACCACGACGCTTCTTCTAAGCCTGAACCTGCAGTGCTTGTATAGAATCTTGAATCCATTCCTTTTGACAACTCTAATCTCATGTGATTCAAACGAGCCAACCTAATCTTTTAGTTTCAGGGTTTCAAGATTGTTGGATTCTGGAATAGGTATGATAACATGATCAAAGTGAGAGGTCAGCGTACGCATTACCTTCTCAACTATCATCTTATTAGTTAGGGTTTCACCACAACTCTTCATAAGATGGACGAGATTATGCACCTTCGACACATAACTTGAAATCTTTTCATCTTCTCCCATTTTTAGAAATTCATACCGTCGTCGCAAAGTTTGCGATTGGACGACTTTGAATTTCTCACCTCCTGCATAGTATTTGATAAGAATATCTCATGTATCTTTCGCCGGTTCACCATGAGAGATTTTGTCGAAATTTTCCGAATTACCGCTGATTGAATACACAACCTTGTAATCTTTCTTCTTAGCCTCCTTGTTCGCGACTCTCTGAGCATCAGTTGCGTTCTTAGCAAGCTCAGGGATGCCATTAGTAACCACTTCATGGATTTCATGAAAGTCAAACAAATATTGTATCTATTTTCACCATCGAATCTAATTCTTGCCGTCATGATCCCTGATCCCGGAAACACGATCACCGACGTGTGATATTTGAAAG